TGGTGGTTTTAAACTGAAAGAGGGAGAGCTAGACTAGAAAGGAAGAAATGTTTGACACTGAGGGTGCTGAGCCCCTGGCCCAGGCTGCCCAGAGAGGTGGTCGCTGCCCCATCCCTGGAACCATCCCAGGGGAGGTTGGATGTGGCTCTGAGCACCCTGCTCTAGCTGGGGATGTCCCTGCTCCCTGCAGGGGGTTGCACGGGATGGGCTTCAGAGGTCCCTTCCCACCCAAACCAGTCTGTGATCTCCAGTGATGAGGGGACAGGGGGATGCTGGAGAGGGGGTACCAGAGGATGGACTGTGGATGCTTCTTGAAGCTTTTTCTTTATGGCTGGTGGGACCTGGGCTGGACTGCTCACAGAGCTGCATGGCAGGGGCTCTGCAGGGCCGTGGGACACCTTGCCAGACCAAGTTCCTGGAGGGATGGGTGGGACATGGCTGTGCCCGCTCAGGTGGCTCTCAGGCTGGGACTGGTGGCTGTCCCACCAGCCTGTGCAGGACCATCCATTGGTCCTGGAGCCAAGGTGTCCCTTTAGCTGTGGGTCAGCAGTGTCCTCTGTAGATCCCTTCATCTCCAGCAGACCTTGGGGAGGAGGCAGCAGAGATCCTGCCTGCAGGTGCCCACAGGTTTCTGACAGCATGCACACCCTGCAGCTCCTCTGAGGCTCCTCTGCTTGGGGGTGATGCCACCACTGCACAGGGAGGACACCCCATCATCTCCCATCTGCACCATCAACCCCATAGCCACTGTCTAAAACAAATCCCTAGTTTCTAAATGCTTCCTGGACCTCAGGCTACAGCTACAACCAGCACGTGTCAGGGTGACACAGCCTGCTTGGCGTCAATCTTCTGCTGACCCCTTGCCTGATGGAGAAGGATATTGTCAGTAATGGGAGGAACAAAGCACTCAGTCAGTGTGAAGGGTGTGAAGCAGGGAGAGAGCTGGCCAAGGAACCAGCCCTGGGAGGAGGCAGGACCCTGGTGATCAGGGATAAAAATTCATGGTCTTGTTCAGCCATCCTGGGAACTCCACTTCCTCTGAAGGATCAGGGAGCTTGCAGAACCCCAGACAGCACATCCCCTGTGCAAACAAGCAGCCCAACTCCACTGCAAGCAGAGTCAGCTCTTATAGAGATGGCTTCTTGCCCCACCTCCAAGTCAATGTGGAAGGTGGGGGCACCTGGTGGTGATCTCCTCAT